AACGAGCCACAACATTTGAAGAGACTGATCCTTCAGAACGTTGTTTTCTCCGCCTATACCCTAGACAGTGTCTCATGGCTAAATTCTCTTAAGCTACTTCACAGCAATTTGCACCTCTCTCGAGAAAGCTTTCGAAAGTTATCCAAGCAATCTGACGTGGAGATATCTAATAACAAAGCAGTTGAATTACCAGACCATGTATTTTCCTCTCAGGGGATATCTTTAAAAAGACTTATTATTAGAGATAACGCTGTTCTGAGAGTAACACACAATGCTTTCAATAATTTAAAAGAGTTGCGCAAGTTAATTCTGAAATCAAATAACGTTACTTTCTTGTCCAAAAACAGAGTGGAAGATCAAATTCCACACAAGTTGTTCCGAGATTTAGTTCAACTGGAATATTTAGACTTGAGCGACAGCAAGATTACCGCCCTACCCAAAAGGGTTTTTGCCAACTCAAAATTACTGTCACATTTAGACCTGGGTAGAAATGAAATGCATTCACTTTCATCAGAAATCTTCAAGAAAAACTGGCGACTACGTACACTGCTGATTGGAGGTAGTAGATTTCGGTCTCTGAACTTTTTGAACTCTTTAACTCGATTGAGAACCTTAGACGTGAGTCACGCGCGAATTAGAAATACGGATCTATCAATTTTGTCACGCTGCACGACTTTAAGAAAACTAACAATGCGACGCATTCCATCACTAAGGTTCAGTGTTAGAGAAATACAGCAACTACCAAAATATTTAGGTCATCTTGAACTTGGGGAAACCAATGTGAACTCATTGACTTCAGAGACATTTCATGGGTTCTTAAATTTGACTGTCCTTATTATGGATAACGTTGGATTAAAAACCTTGAGCTTTGTCCCATTCAGTACGCTTCAGCGTCTCCGTTATCTGGACGTCTCTCGTAACGGTTTACACGAGATAACTGAAGACTTTGCACTATTTAAAGGTGTCTTGGTTCTTCGCGATAACCCATTGCATTGCAACTGCCTCCTGCAATGGATGCTACAAATTGAGACAAACAGAACTTTGTCCAAACCAGATATACAGGGGGCGACGTGTTTCACTCCAGCCAAGTCAAGAGGCCGAGAGCCGTCTTCTCTATCTCTGTCTGATATGCAATGTTATCCGCCAGAAGTTACGCTAAGCATTGGTCAGTTTGACAGCAATGACAGTCAGCTAATAACGTGCAATGCGTTAGGTGATCCACCACCAGATGTGATTGTGCAATTGTCGTCAGGGCGCAATGCGTCTTCTCTAACGCATTCGACACAATTTTCTAAATACAATACAAGTGTCTCGGCGTCTATATCCGCCAGCGGAAATGATATATTAGTCACGTGCCAGGCGACGAATTCAATGGGCAATGTTGTGAAAGAGATAAGAGTGAATACTCATTGTGGTCACAAAGAACTTACAATTGTGAAAAAAGAAATTCATGCTATTCGCTCTATGAAAGAATCTCTTTGGACGCTTGGACTTCTTTTAATCTTCCTGGTTTTAATAATCGCAGCACATGCTATTTCCTCTGAAGTGCGTGGTCACTTTGAACGAGAAATGAAACACCGCAATTCTGGTGGCTCAATAAATTCCTACAAGAAAAGTTCCAAAGACGCTCTTATCGAAGGGATCTCGGTGGGGAATGTTTGCACACGTGATCAATCCTCGACAGAAGCAACCTCCGTAGAGGAAAAAACATTGTTTTAATTGACAGTGAAATTATCATTTTTATTTTTAATCCGTGACATATATATCCTGCACTCTAACATGCTTTAATGTACATCTTACAACTATTCACTGATCCATCAATGGTACAAGGAAAAGAAGTTCCATTTTATACATCATTTTATATTTCATTTTACTGCCTGGGAGTGTGATTTGGCACAAAAACCACCAGGTCAGACCTGATAAATGGTGAATAAAAATAGAACATTAAAAAAATTATATTAGCATTTAAGATTGTTAAGTTGTTAAATTGCCAGACCATTTTTTTTTCTAGAAGGGGATATCCTTAAAAACATTTGTTATTAGAGATAACGCTGTCCTGAGAGTAACACACAATGCTTTCAATAATTTAAAAGAGTTGCGCAAGTTATCGAATAACGCCACTTCTTGTCTAAACACAGAGTGGAAGATCAACTTTCACACAAGTTGTTCCAAGATTTATTTCAACTGTAATATTTAGGCTTGAGCGACAGCAAGATTACCGCCCTACCAAAAAAGATATTTGCCAACTCAGAATTACTGTCACATTTTATAGACCGAAGTAGAAATGAAATGCATTCACTTTCATCAGAAATCTTCAAGAAAAGCTGGCGACTACGTACATTGCCATCACACCTTATTCACATTGCTGATTGGAGGTAATAAATTTCGGTCTCTGAACTTTCTGAACTCTTTAACTCGATTGAGAACCTTAGACGTAAGTCACGCGCGATTTAGAAATACAGATCTATCAATTTTGTCTCGCTGCACGACTTTAAGAAAACTAACAATGCCCCGCATTCCATCTGTAAGGTTCAGTGTTAGAGAAATACAGCAACTACCAAAATATTTAGGTCATCTTGACCTTGGGGAAACCAGTGTGAACTCATTGACTTCAGAGACATTTCAAGGGTTCTTATAAATTTGACTGTCCTCATTATGGATAATGTTGGGTTAAAAAACTTGAGCTTTGTCCCATTCAGTGCACTTCAGCGTCTCTGTTATCTGGACGTCTCTCGTAACGGTTTACACGAGATAACTGAAGACTTTGCACTATTTAAAGGTGTCTTGGTTCTTCGCGATAACCCATTGCATTGTAACTGCCTCTAGCAATGGATGCTACGAAGTGACACAAACAGAACTTTGTACGAACCAGAAATAAGAGGGGCGACGTGTTTAACTCCAGCCAAGTCAAGAGGCCGAGAGTTGTCTTCTATATCTCAGTCTGACATGCAGTGTTATCCGCCAGAAGTTACGCTAAGTATTGGTCAGCCTGACCGCAATGACAGTCGGCTAATAACGTGCAGTGCGTTAGGTGTTCCACCACCAGATGTGATTGTGCAATTGTCGTCAGGGCGCAATGCGTCTTCTCTGCCGCATTCGACACAATTTTCTACATATAATACCAGTGTCACGGCGTCTATAGCCACCAGCGGTACTGATATATTAGGCACGTGTCAGGTGACGAATTTAGAGGGCAATGTTTTGAAGGAGGTTAGAGTGAACACTCACTGTGGTCACAGAGATATTACAATTGTGAAGAAGGAAATTCAGGCTATTCGCTCTATGAAGGAATCTCTTTGGACGCTTAGTCTTCCCGGTTTTAATAATCGTAGTGCATGCTATTTCGTCTGAAGTGCGTGGTCATTTTGAACGAGAAATAAAACACCGCAGTTTTGGTGCCTCCACGAACCCCTTCAAGAAAAGTTCTGAGACAGTTCCTATTAATGAAGTCCCAACGGGAAGGGTTGGTGACAATCATCAATCCTAGTTAGAAGCAACTTCCTTAGAGGAAGTAGAATTTAACCTTAATGAAGAACATTCTGTTGATATTGCATTTGAAATAAAATAATAATAATAATAATAATTAGTGCCCTACGAAATACTGCATGAGATCTAACAGAATATTTTGTCTTTTTGGAATTGGCATTTTAAAATTTTTGTCAGATGCTTAGATGCAGAAAAGAATTAAAAGTGGATTTTAATTCATTAAAAACCCTGGAATATAAAGGATTTCAACTACATAGGTCAAAATTGATCATTGAAATATTAAAAAAGATTTTCATCGGAAGTGCATGGAACCTGTTTTATTTTTATAAGGGTGATTTAATACGCCGGAATGATTTCTTTAAAATGTAATTTTCAAGATTCCACTCAAATTTGTTGGTTTCCTAATGCTTTACTAAGTTTTTATACTGGTCTCATTGTAAATTTAGCAACACTTTAATTTTTCTATTCATTTCGCTGTTGATTTTATTTCATATCTATTAGCATGTCACAATTGATCATTGAAAGATAAAAAGATTTTCAATGAAAGTGCATGGAACCCGTTTTCTTTTCATAAGGATGATTTAAAACTTCAGAATGATTTCTTTAAACGTTATCCCCAAGGCTAAAACGCCTGTTTTAAATCAAAATTTGTCGGTTCCCTCATGCTTTACTAAGTTTATGTACTGGTCTCATTTTAAATTTATAAAAACTTGCTTTTTATCAAATGTATCAAACCACATGTGCATGTAATCTAATTATGTATATTACATTCAACTGCATATTGCAATTTATCTGTTTTTGATAATTTATCAATGTGCATTTATCTGAGTAATAACGAGGATATGCGTCACAGATATTTTAGCAAGGTTATACAAAGACCTTATTTACAGTATAACTTAAATGTCATTCAAACCCATTGTATTTAACAACAGACAATCAGAGCCTACATTATATCACGTCTTTTGATAACTGAAACTTAAACTTACATGTCACAGAATACCTTTATATCCTTTATCAGACTTCCATCCCAAATTACTTGATCCACCCACAGTGGGGTCATGTTTTATCACGTGAAACGAGAAACGAGATAGCGATTTCAAATTCGTCTTATTAAGCAGTGTCTGGTAAAACAAACAAATAAAAACGCCACAATGTAATTCTAACCACTTTATTAGCAAAACCATTTTGCGTTGCTGTATGTTGTTCTTAACTTTAAACATACTCATGAAAAATAAACATTGAAATTACGGTCAAATCATTGCTTTTAATCCCCTCTTTTTAAGTCTTCTGATGTAAGTTCATTTTGTGGGCTTTGGTGCAAATCTGCGGTGTTGATGTTTCCATTTTAATTATTCTTTTTCTAATGGAATAACAAATGGAGATTTTTGACCCATTAAGCAATCTCTTACTTCTTTGCGGGTTTCAGGAGCTTTCTCTGTAATTATGAGAATAGAATATGGTTGTAAAAAAGCAATTCTTACCGGGTTGAGAAAAAGCTTTTATCTGAAGAGGCTATTTATGAGAGATTGGTCGGGAAATTCTGTGCCCTATCTAAAGTTAGAAAAATACAAGCGCTACCTCACATAACTGAATAGGACGTTTGAATTGGTAAATATTGTTTGAATTTGTATCATTATTAAATAGATAACTAAAAAAGAACAAATATGAATAGATAATTAAACAAATTAATAAATAGATGGACAAAAAACTTACCATATGCATATACGTTAAATTGGAGTTGATTTTTTCCATTGGAAATGGAAAAATGTCCAAGGTCTTTATCACATTCATATGCTTCTTTTCCAGTAGCATGAATATGACCAGAATTGCATTTCGATGAAGACCTTTTGTCACATTCTAAAGCCTCAGCTGCACTCTTGTGAGTGTGGCCATTGATACACACGGAAGATTCACTCCCTGCAAAGACGAAACGATACATGAAGGGCCATCTTACTAATGAGTTGATTCAAACTGAAAGTGCAGAAAATCAATCATAGAATAAAGTTTAAAATATTATTATTATTATTATATTCTGATATCTTAAACGTTAAAAAACGTTTACGCACCCATTTTTCGCATTCAGTTTTAATTTCACACCTGTGTCGCCATCAAATGCTTCTACCTCTGCCTTCGATGTTGATCAGAATTATCATTATATGCACACGTTATCGTACTCGACGAACCATTATTGACCCTTGACATTGACAAAACATCATCGCTTAATCTTCACACATTATCTGTTAAGATAGCTCCAAGTGACCGTAACAAATACCTACATGCCAGTTCATTACCTGATCAGTTTGGGCATAATGAAGAAGGGTTTTAACATCTTTCTGAATTTTATATTTAGCACAGAAGGCATGCAGAAAATACTCTTTCACAGGTATTTCTTTAAGTTATGCTCTGTGAAACCCCATGGTTGCATTTGATCGGTTTGATAGTAAAATTGGGCTTTAAATGGATCTGAAAGGGAGTTTTCCGACCAAACAATCACGATCTTACACAGTTTTACAAAGCAGTTAAATTGGCGAGGACAGAGCTGAAAAGCAGAACCGCGTGGTTGATGAATAAAACAACGAAAGGGGGAATCTTTGCCCTAAAAGTATTAAATGTCACTGCGTTGTGATGTATATATACGGGATAAGAGTAGAGGCTGAATATCACTTTTTATTAGAATGTAAGTTTTACAGAAAAATACTTTCCAAAAAGATAAAATAGTCAACCAAATTTCGATATGCTTAGCGATTGATGTGCATTGAAAATGATAAGTTGTTGACAGGTTCAGTGAAATAGGCATTATTACCCTGATCCACCTCTTAATCCGCCACTGGTTACAGCCTTATTATTACTACTACACCTGATACATAACTGTTAGTTTGTACTCTGGGCGAGAGCCTTGAAATACCGAAATAAATACATAAAAATATATAAACGGGGAAAATCTATTTTGACCAATTAAGCCGATTAAGGCCATCTTAACGTATCAGTCCACCTTTACATACCGTTTCCTTCTGATATCAATAGTGCATTGACTTTCAACCCCCCCAGTATCACCCCCTGTTTCGTTGGTAGTCTGCTAAGATGCACCTACATGATAGCCCAAACTACATGTGTTATACACCCAAACCCAATATAGAGGTGCATTTCACATGCTAAAGTGTAAAAATTAAATAAAAATATAATTGAATGAATTTAAATTTGTATTAATTTTTTCAAACATACCGTATGTGTATAGGACAAAAATCTACGACTGTTTTAACTTTAATCAAATTTTTTATCATGTCCTTACATTATGTAAGAAGCCTAGATTCTAACATACAAGTACATGTATATTCCGGTTAACATATGTTCTGAGTCATTTGATTTTTATTCTTATATCGCGTTACGACAAATTTTGTTGTGACCCAGTCATGGTAAATTATACATGGCGTAAGGGTGTTTTATAAACATTCATACTGTTAAACTAATACAAGGGGGGTTGTGTCATGGCTAATGTTTTGTAACGAATGTTAACAAACGTAGGTTCCCCGGAAAAATTGTCAGAAAGTTTTAGCTTACCCAAGTACTTGGTTTAATAGGAAACAGGGTTTTCTGTTGCCGACTGAAAATTTGTCTTGTATTACCATGATAATTTGACATTTTTGATAAATATTTGGACCAGGAATTGAAAATGGTTTATTTGATGTTTATTTAACTGCCAGTATTCCCCCTTTTTAAATATTCAGTGACAAGCAAACTAAACTGCTCTTTACAGAAGAGTATCATAATTTTACAACGTTTTTTTTTTAATATTCAGTAAGAAGCAAACTAAAGTCGCTCAAAAACAATTCACTGCTCTTACAGAAGATTATCGTAATTTTTTACAACGTTATATTTGTGGGAGATAAATCAAAGGACAAAACCAGTAATGTTTGAATTTTCAAAGTGAGTAAAACGTTTCCACGGCTGAACGTTTTGCATTTGTGTCAGTATAACGTATGTTCCTCTCTGCGATTGGACGATTAATGGTTTTTTATTATTCATCGTCGAAGAGAGTGAAACTTTGATACTAAATTCTTCGTGTAAACGTTTTACTCACGACATGTATCATATCCATGGGGTTTACTTGTTTTCTATAGAAAATACATCCACTTTTTCGCAAACACGTTACAGATGTCTAACATTTTGTTGAGACTGTCGCCATTCGGTCTCGAAAGCATACCACACTGAAGGAATTAGAACGCTCTGTTAAAGATGTACCTAGATTAGACCTTGGGCAAAGGTTAGACTTTTATATACACTGGGTTAAATCGTTCGTTAATAGAGAGAAAATTCTCGGGGGCAGGATACAGCCTTGTTATTGTGTTTTTTTGTTGTTTTTTTTTCCCAAACAAATATGTGTCAAATGAGGCCGAAGTAACTTAATTTCAGCTATACCCGGCAATCACGTTCGGATCACGTGGCTAACACGTTGCTACCACATTATAACGTCATAGCAAAGCACTTGCTAGCCACGTGATCCGAACTTGACGTGTTTGCTGGGTACTATAAGAGAATTAGAATTATATAGAGTTTCCCTTGCATTGGATTCCTTGCCTCCAGAGAGAATGAAAGAGGCCGTACCTGCACACTGCATCGACAGCTATGTGTATGGGGGCCCAAATCGGTCAAAATACATGTAATTAACTTTTTGTTAGTAGGAAATAATTATATGTAGGCCTACTACGTGAATTAATTATTTGTGCTTCATAATAATAATGTTAGGTGTCCTAATTATTTATTTGAACTCTAAGAATTACATTCACATATTTAATTAAAAAATACATAGACTCACAATAACTTTTTTGTTGTTTTCCTCTCAATTCGATCAAGATTTAATTTTTCGTGAGCACGAATTATTTTTTCCTTCTCTGGAATTAATTATTGCATCCCATGGTGCATTGCGCGCTCCAGTACACAAACAAATTATTTCCCCACCTTTAATGATTATGCGTTTTCACACCATCAAAACCTCAGCCAGAATATGACGACTCCCGTTTACGCCATAACATTTTTACATAATCATCAAAACTAGCAAGTTATTCTTTAGTCGCTTCTGCAGATTATAAATGTAGTTTCCAGCACAGGCTTCAAACAACTGCGCATCCGCAAAAAGTACTCTGAAATAAACAAATGGTGAAATATTGAATAAAAGCCTGCCGGTGTTTACCGTCTGGTTGATTGTATTTAATTTGCTTTCAGGTGTGGTTTTGAGAAATTTTATTAAAATGTTCTGTTGATTGTATGTTTTAAAAAGCAAATCCACCAGACTTTCTTTTGATTAACATTAATGTTGCCGTCATTGTAAGGGGGATTCCCTTCGCATTTATAGTGTAATATGTGGCCCCAAGGGGATTTTCCACCCCTCCCCCACTCTTGATTAATAAAATTCTTCATCGGGCAGATTGAAAATTATATTGCAAAATACATTAGAAATCGTAGGAAGGTTGATTGCAGTTAATGCTGCGAGGATATTCTTAACCGGGGGCGAACTCGGCCAACGTAAAATTTTTAACTTCGTCTTACGATTTTGGAGCGCCGGTTCTAAATATTGAAAACGAGGCAATGGAACCAAACAATGCGATACACTTTGTAATCTCGTAAAAAATGCTATTTTTATATAAAGGTCATAACATTAGTACATCGAAATCGAAAGGATATAATACGCTCTTAACGTTGTACCCGTTTTATTAGCTTAATTGATTTTTTTAGCATTTGGAGATTAAAAACACAAAAGTTGTCTGATTTCATATCGAGGCACTACGTTTCGTTCGTGTGCTGTGGAGCGCGCGATGCACCATGGGATGCAATAATTAATTCCAGAGAAGGAAAAATAATTTGTGCTCACGAAAAATTAAATCTTGTTTGAAATGAGAGGAAAACAACAAAAAAGTTATTGGAAGACTATGTATATTTAAATAAAGTATGTGAATGTAATTCTTAGAGTACAAATAAATAATTAGGACACCTAACATAATTAATTATGAACCACAAAAAATTAATTCACGTAGTACATATAATTATTTCCTACTAACAAAAAATTAATTACATGTATTTTGACCAATTTGGGCCCCCATATATGTGCTTACCCCTGAAGATACATAGGGACAGTTGGTCATCCGGGAACTTTGCAAATGGGGTTAGGCGGAGAGAGCAACATGGCGGATTGCATGGACTTATATGTATAAGTTGGCAGACTTTGTCCGAAGATATCATGCATGTATAGCAATGACCAAATCCTGTTTTGATCAAGAACTTCGTCTTTGGTCTGCAACAGTTGTTCACATTTCTGTTCATCTTTATAAAAAAAAATTATATCAGATTTTTTTAATGTGTTGGAAGTGCCGTCTGGTACACTGCAAGCTTTCATTTTGCTGAAATACGAGTGCTGGGACTTGTTTCACGAAGCTCTCGTTAGATAGAATAACTAACGAAAGAACTATCTTGCTTACGAGATTTTAAAACGATTTTCGAGTGGTGTATCACGAAGCTATCGGTAACCTATCGTTAAGTTCTCTCGTAAAGTCTGTTCACTAGTTCTCTTTACGCATAGTATTCTCCAAACAGTCTATCGAAAAAAAGTGTCATTATGTCTCAACTCTCTAAAGTTTGGCGGCTGGAACTGAATATGAATGTCTACTTTGAGGTCTTCTTAAATCATCTCCACCACCCTCTTCACCGCCACTTTTGTAACAGTCAGGCAGAACCTTTCGTAAATTTCATCTGCGTTAATATATTTTAGAGGATTCTGCCTTTGATCAAATGTCATAGTCTCCGTTGCCGTCTGTCAGCACGGATAGAAAGGCAGCCCCCATATAAGAAACTTTTCTATTTCATTTATTACGCACAAATGCGATAAAACTCCAGGGTTTGTGAGTTACTAGTAGTCGAGTCGCCACTTTCAAAGGCCCAATAGTCGAACCCTGAAAAGTTCTTTCCTCTTAATTTTTTTGCTGGTTTGCATTCTTCAGGATAGGAAAAGCAAAATTAGCTTGGTAGCTAGATTTACTTTTGCTTCTTTGAACGTTTTTCCTATCAGAAGAGCACAGCAGAACTAGTGCATACACTTAAGCGCGTAAAATGACCGCCAAAACATATGGCAGAAGGTACAATAGCTGCAAAATTAGTCCGTTTTTGCATATTAAAGTCTAGTCTTATCAAAACCATATCTGCAAGATTTTTATATTTATTTTCATTACGTTACTTTGTTGGCCATGGCCCAAAGTTCTCAGAATCAGCTTAATTGAAATTCCGAAAATTTGTGGTGGAGGGTGTCAGCCCCCAAGATTCTGTTTGCACTCCCATAGTTAAATCCTTCTTTGTTATTCTGTTTTACCTTTTTTTAAAGAACTGAATTCTTTGGGGCTACAAAAGCCAGTTTAGTTTGTCCTTTCTTGTTAGTTGCTGTATCAAGGACATTGCTCAATTTTCAAAATTCAAGATGGCCGCCAAGTAATTATGTACAATAGCAAAGAGTCAGGGTCAAATTGTATGGTATTCTGCACTAAAAGTCAAAAACATGCAATGATGAAGAAATGAGCAAAGAATACATTCTTTATTTCCACAGTTTTAGAATTCCCATTTTTTCAATTGTATCATCTGAAGCACTTTTCTATATCTTTGGTAAGGCAGTTTTTAATTACTTGTTTTTCAAGCAAGTTTTATTTTTGTCAGAGGTCGGAGGGGGGGGGGGGGATAAGAAATATTTTCAAAATAACTTTTTGGTCACTCATTTTCAATACTACATTAAACAATGGTAAAAACTGCTTTTAACACAGTAAAGCAATTTTTGGATAAAAACAGCAATTTCTTTTCAATGTTTAATTTTTCTAAATGAATGTCAATTCTACGAACCATTCTTGTAAATAACAAAATAATAATGATAATAAAAACACTTATCCTTTATATGTATTCATGGTGGCAGTGTACAAAATAGTTTTTTGCCAATCTTAATGCAATATTATGTATGATTTAATGATTATGCGGAAAATCATCACCAAATTTAAATTATCTACTTCATATAACAATTCAAAAGAGAGCGCGAACATTTGCTTAGCCAGGTTGCTGAATATACTAATACCAGCAAGGATGATATGGCCTATGATGGAACCATGTCTTTTTTTAAATCTTAATGGCAACAACACCTTAACTTATTTTATAAAAAAGGTCCATTGACAAAATAATGATAAACTGAACTGCCAGGTCACAGGTCCATAGCCAAGGAGTTTGGTGGATTTGAACGAACCACCCTTTTTTATCAGGCAAAGGTCACAATATATCTAATTGCATGAAGGTGTAATGGTAAATGGTCCACTTTTTCAGAAAAAGAAGCCTCTTTTGAAACTGTTGGCTACGGGACTGGTTAACCTTAATATCTATATAAGCAATAAAAACTTGATGGAAAACTAAACAATGAATTCATGTTGACAGGCTTATCCAAAACAAATGATAGTTAACAGCTGTTACCTGGCTTAAATTTTGTGAAAGTGCAAAAAAAGTACATTGATTTATCATCATGTCAGTGCCTAAAATATACTGATCTGAAAATACTATGACACTCTGAAAAAGCGAAAATAAAAATACTCACATTTTTTTCTGGAGACTTTCAGATGCACGCGAGTGCTGCATTAAAACATCCACTGCACTTTATTTTTGGATGATCACGAAGACTTGAGACAAGCCCGCCTCTTTTGATGTTCACTGGCAACTGTTATCTGACTTACCCTAGGTTCTAGATTCCGGTATTGTCAGCTCGATCTTGATTTCATATATAACCCATATAAAAGCGACTCCATCACAAGGTATATTTAACAAGCTAGCTTTTACGTTGCTCTGACACTCAGGGTAATCTGACTGTACTTAAAGTCAAATTTTACCACCGTAGAGACCGGTATGCTTACAATCAGTTCAGTACATATTTGTGCTCCTGACGCTGCTGGGTCCCTGTTGAAACCCTCCACACGTGACAGAAGTGTTGCAGTTTATATTTTCATTTCCGACAGAAAGCTGTCAATAAAATTGCCTAAAACGTCTGTAACACTGACCGGACAGACCTTTTTGCATAATTATTTTGGACCCTCCTTCACTATAAAACTGAGCCACACAACAGAGGTCTAATTCCTGCTAAAAAAAAAATGGCTACTTCAGCACACTTTTCCCGCCATGTTGCATTTATTTGACACATGTAGTGTAAATATCAGCGACGCCCTGATTGGCTTAAAAACCGGAAGCCCGGGGACATGAACCAATCGTTTACCTTGGCATAAATATTTAGCCGTCGTTTTAAACTTGTAGGCAGTCATGTGACGCGTACGTGAGAGTACCGTGAAACTTACGAGTTTTCGTGTTTATTTTATTCCGCTTGAACAGTATGATCAGGTATGATCAGTCGGATGCCCTTAAAGAAATAAAAATATTTTTGGTTTCAATTTTATTTTTCTTTCTTTTGTTGGCCATTTTGAGGTCGGCGGAGGTTGAGAAACAAGTTACTGAAAAAAAAAACTGCCTAATGTTTCCGAGTTTTCATTAATGCTCAAATATATGTATTGACTCAAAATGACATCAGTCTTTGTTTTACTTTCACGTTTGTTTTATTTTTAAAATTTTGCTAAAATAACTGTTAACAAAATTCACTGATATAATAGTATATAGTATATTTATAAAAGAGTTTCTTCGATGAAATGTAGTTACTATACACAGACTTTCCCTTTTTGAAAACATGCACCAATGGGTAACCATACGCCAAACCTTAGAAAAAGAAAACAAAAGTACAGAAGCGAATACAATGTTACGCAAAACATAAACTAAAAAGTTAATTGAAAAGACACGTGGTCGACTCATGGGATACAGTGTACCTTTTACATATTGCCCAGCTATGCGCAAAAGTCGTAGTGAGCAAATAGTTGTGTTAAAATTGACGACCCAAAAGTAAAGTAGGTATGATTAGCTGTTGATTAACATGAAGTGGTTTCAATAAGTCAGATCCGGTATCAAGCAACACGGATTCTTATCATTCTAGGGTCTGACGGACAATATTTTTGAGAACGTAAAACCCTTGATATCTTTAAAATATAATTTTAAAAATTGTAAGAAACGGACCATCTGGCATGGGGGACAATCTAGTCCATGACACCGGCACATTTAAACATTGTTTTTTTTTTAAGCGCTACTAGTGTGTATATGGTATAATATTTTTACATATATTACTTACCTACTTCACACTTGGCTCGTTGAATTTACTTCTTCTGTAATATCAACAATAGCGCACGGCGGATGATTCAAAGTCCTCTCACAACTACCTAGTAAAAAAAGTTAAATAGCAATGACACCACTGTCCGTTTTGCAAACATATTTTATAACCGTTTATTGTTGTGCGATATACATATCTAACGCGATCATAATTTGATCAAAGCAAATACACCTATTTAGAATATAATTTGACAATTTGCTTAACCCCGAACAGTGTCGGTGCTTTGAAATATCATGTGATAAAATAACTTTACAAGTCTTTTATTTTAAAAATAAAGTGCGATTACCAGGCCAAAGCAGATTAACAGCATATATTCCATGTACCCCGGACACCAAGGTAGCTCTTCCAATAATTTCTTCACATGCTACGACCTCTTCCTGGTTTGGGTGTACGTGTCCCATTTTACATTCCTTCCGATTGTCTAAATCACATTGTACAACTTCTTGATATCTTTCATGCTTATGCCTATTCATGCATAGATATTTTGGGTCTGCAATTACAGGATTTTCAATACTACAAGAGTTTTTCTGAATATCATCGTGCATACATAGATTTTCATGAAGTGAAAATATAAATGTAAAGCCCCCGTCACACTTATGCGGAATCAGCAGGGATCAAGCAGAACCAGCCGGAATGACTAAATTTAAAAAATTCGTACTACATTCGAGAAGAAATGTCAAATTGATCAAATCTTGTAAAAATGCCGTTGGAATACTCAGAATGCGCTCGAATGTAGTTGAACTAGGAATATCAATAATACTGTCAGAATGCAGTCAGAATATTTAGAATACATTTCGAATGCCGCACGAATGTAGTTTGATTGTTTGCTGAAATAGGATCGAGATGCATTTGAGTTGCATTCTTGCTCATTCTAGCAGGATTTGAAATGTCTTGCCATTTCTGTTCTGCCTACCCTGAGTGCCAGAGCAACGTAAAAGCTAGCTTGTTAAATATACCTTGTGATGGAGTCGCTTTTACTAAACTCTGACGAACACCGACAATCTGAGGGCGCTCTTCTTAAAAATTTTGCCTGGGGCGCTTCCTCATTTGGAAGTCACACGTCACAGCCAATATTCAAGTCATAAGTCTCGTACGTCACAGGTTGGGCCGCCTGGAGCTGCCTTTCCCGCCTTGCGCTGACGTTATCTCGTGCAGACGAGACAATAAGCGAAGTGGCTGACGCGGAGTTAGAAGTTTGAATTGAAAATATCTTACAGTCGAAGCTTCAGTGCCACAATACAAGCAACATTCTGTATAAAAAACTGATTTTGGTGTAGCCATTGCGCAGCCCTTATAGTGATATCGGGCATCCAGTGTAGCAGTCAAACTTGCCACACGGCAAGCACGTGTATTGTGTTTATATATATCTCAGGACTAAAAAAATACAAAAACATTGGATATACCTTTTTCTTTTAGAAACATATTATTTATTTCTCACTTTACATATCTTAAATACCAGGGGCGGATTTAGGCCGTCTTCTGGGTCTTCCGGAAGACGGTCAGATTTTCAAGTTTACATTGACGGTTATGTATTTTTTTCTGTCGGAAGACGGTCAAAAACGGAGGATGGATCAACAAAGACTATTTAGAAGACTATCAGAAAATATCTCTGGATCCGCCACTGAATACAGCAAATAAAATTAAATAAAGCAGAATTAAATCTGTTTTACCTTACATTTTGGTCTAATTACAATCAACTGCAGATTCACTGCGGAGCAGTTCTATTTGATTGACGGAAATCTAACATGGCCGCTCTTCGCTAGAGCCTGGTATTGCTGATATGGGTTATATATGAAATCAAGATCGAGCTGGCAATACGGGAATCTAGAACCTAGGGTAGTTCTCCCTCGAATGTGATCAGAATGTTTCGAATGCTGTCGGAACGCCATGAGAATATTTAGAATGCAGTCATAGCGCAGTTAGAATACTATTCAAATACCATTCGATAATTTTCCACTTGGAATGCACTTGAAAGTTTTTAACATGAGCAAAACATTCGAAAAGTCCACAAGAATGGGTAAAAATATTGAGAATGCACTCGGAATTTTAAGAATGCTCTTCGAATAATCAGGAACGCACAAAGAATTGTCTTTCGGACGGCATTCTTACTCATTCCGCCTCTAGTGTGACGGGGGTATGAATTTAAAGCCAAATACACCCTGGGATATTTGCCTTTAATATGATTTCAAAATACACAGTCATGATATTTGCCTAAAATATGTTTAATACACAATCATTATACTCAACTTATTCAACTTCATGAAACCCCATTGGAAAAATTATTTTTATGTGAAGCTTAACAATACCAAAAGAATTCCATTTAGTCTGAAGAAGGTTTATATAACAAAGTAGAAAATAAATGTGTTCTTAAATAATTCACGCTCTTTAAATTATATCAGTGTATTAATTTCAAACCCCATATCACCGCATGTGCATGTAGCAGAAAATATTTTTCTTTTCTGGCTTAAACCAAAGACATTATGTGGTACACGGTTTGTAATAACTTAACTTTCATGTGGAATCCATGCCCTTCGGCACGAATTAATGATGTAATACTCAATTTTGATGTACAGTTTTTTACATTATCATTAAAATGTTGAACACCAAACTTACAATGTCCAAATACAGTGGAAGGCGTCCAAGTTCTGCCCTTCAAGCATTACTGCTGGAAGTTTTTCTTAAACCTAGTGTCCATTTACACATTTTTAAATGTATCTGTTCGAATGGCATCTTATTCAATTTGTGTAGTGTCATTTTTTTGTCTATAAATATCTCTTGTGCCCAAACCTCACAGCCATATAGCAGGATTGGTTTAATCATTTGGTCGAGAAGTTTCATGGTTAGTAGGGGTGAAGAAATTTCTTGAGAATTTAGCATCCCTTTTAATGAAAACAAAGCTTTGAGGGCCTTTTGTTTGAGGTTTTCCATTGTCTGTTTTAAGGATCCTGTGTTTGTAAAAATTATTCCCAAGTATGAGAACTGCTTAACTGTTTCTATAGGTCTGTTATTTATGGTAAACGTATGTGGGTTAATTTTCCCAAGCTTATTGAATACCATAACTTTAGATTTATTTTCATTTACCTTCAATTTCCACTTCAGACAGTAGTTTTCAAGTTTGTTAAGTAGGGTCTGTAGTCCTTCTTCTGTTTGTGAGAGTAAGAATAGGCCGTCAGCGTATAGTATGTGAGGTATCATTTATGTGAAGTTCACTTTTTATGTCATCTATGAAAATGTTGAAAAGTACTGGACTAAGGTTATCACCTTGCCGTATGCCAATTTTGGACAAAAATGGTTCAGTAAAACCAGTGTGAACCGAGTCTTGTATTATTGTACATGAACTTTATGGGTTTGTATATTTTGCCTCTGATACCTTGTCTCAGGAGTTTTATAAACAGACCTTTATGCCAGACTGTATCAAAGGCTTTACGAAGATCGACAAAGCAGGTATAGAGGCGTTTATTTTTGTTTAAATATTTGTTTATGACAGATTTTAGGGTAAATATATGATCTGTTGTGCGATACCCAGGTCTGAACCCAGCATGTTCTTCACTTAGCTTTTGATTTGTTTCTATGAATTGAGTGATTCTATTTGTCAGTATAGAATTGAAAAGTTTCCCTAAACAGCTTGTTATGCATAGGCCTCTATAATTTGATGGGTCAGTTCGATCTCCAGATCGACCTAACTATTAATAGTTCACCGCATGCAAACTGTTATGCTTAGATCCATCTGGATATATTTATAATTGAACGAATATGTAAATGACATGTATTCAAATTTATACTATCAGCATTAATTAATGGTTCACCACATATATCTCCCTTTTTTACCGAAAAAAAATTAAGGAACCTATTTTTTAAACCTATCACTGACACCTATTTATACACTGTAATTGATAGAATGTTAAGCTATAATACAAAGTACATGAACATCTTCTAATCAAATTTACCTAATATTTAACAGTTTCAACAATAATAAAACAATTATAGCTTCACATAAGCATTAAAGGACTTTTAAACATACTTTAGCTTTGCATAGACATCCACACCAATTTAAATATAATTATAAGACTGCTTTACAAATTTTACTCAAATCAAATCAATATTTAGGACACATTTAACCTAAGAACTTATATTTCACAAAGAGTATGCATTAAAATAAATCAGATGCAAATAAAGAAAAATGTGACATTCAATAATTAACAGATTTTATGAAAAACAATCTTTGGACAATTTACTAACCTTATTGAAAAAAATTCCAGTGAAGTGGATATCTCCATTTTTTTATACATTGATTGAAAGAAAAACATAATTATTAAAAATTACTCATGGGCAACTTATCTCATTAAAAAAAAAAGCCTAATTTTGCAGTGAGATGGGTACCTCCATTTCTCTATACCTTTCAGATGAGGTTTTTCAGTTCTTTCTAACACATCAAGCAAGTCATCTGTTTTCTTCTCTTGTTTTTCATTTCTATCTTTATCCTTGTAATAACTATCTTTATCCTTGTAATAAGCAAGTATATTCAAATTCACCATATCATTGTCCCTTTCCTCAGTATGTAACTCAATCATTTCCTTCACTTGTTCGTTATTTTCTCCATTGTCCTCATGGTAACACACAGTTTCAATCAGTTTGTTCTTATTGGTGGCCATTTCTTCAACAAGCAGCATTTCAACATCAGGTGTTTTCATCATCTTATCACAGGGGAACTTCATCATCTCATCATCAGTAGACTTCAACAGTTCAGCATTACTGGGCGACAACCCCTCTTCATCAGGGAACTGCAACATTTCTGCATCTGGTGAATTTAATACATCAGAATCACCACTGGTCAAAAGAGGTTTCAAAATCTCAAATTTGAGAGATTTTGCTTTGTCAGCAATGTCACTGACCACATCATCGTTGCCTCCATCGGGGAGCTGCAACATTTCTGCACCAGGGAATTCTTCTTTTAGAGATTTGTTAGCAACACCGCTGATCACAACCTCATTGCTCTGGATCCTCTCTCTAACTTCTTTCCCTATTTCAGTCTCTTCATCACAGCTGTCCTCACCCACTGCGCTTCTCTGCCCCACTTCTATCTGAATGCTGCTTGTCATTGCTTCGAAAGATAGTTTGTTTCCGTTGTCATACTCTGTTGTTTCTTCTTTCATTACTTCCCACAAATTTGCGAGGGAATTTGACAATAAAAGTGCATCTTCTTTGCTTGTTTCCTGCGTCTTCAGAACACTACTGATTCCACCCAGACAATCTAACAGCCTGCTGTAGATGTCTGGGTCTTCATACTGGTCCTTGTCTTCATACAGCATCTTGACTATAAACTGCCTTTCTGTCTCAGCTGCTTAAGGTGAAACCTGGGAGCTCGCCATTTGTAATAACCAGTCGGTGGTTATACACTTGTTCTTAGAGTTACTTTTTCACCAATAAGTCAACTGAGACAGGCAGGCATAGTTTTCTGCTACATGATCTATTCAACCGACTGCAGTCTCTGCTCTCTCTTCATCTCTCTCTGTGGTATTTATAACTATCTCTGTGTCTCTCTCTCAGACTATTAGTCTCCCTCTCTGTGGCTCAGTCACTGCTTTTATACGTGAACTTAATTTACATTTTAAATTAACTTCTATTACTGACATGCGACATGCCATGCCTTAAGGCCTTAAATTTTAATTGTGGATATAATATGCATTAACGAATATGTAAATCACATATATGGAAATTAGCTCTCAATACTATTAATAGTTCACCACATGCAAACTGTCATGCTTAGATCCATCTGGATATATTTGTAATTGAACGAATATGTAAATGACATGTATTCAAATTTATACTATCAGCACTAATTAATGGTTCACCACAATATATATTCCCAACTAGACTAGTTATAGATCTCCCCGGGTTTTTCAAACGGTAGATATAATTAGGCCTATTTAATGGAGTATAATGTTATGATGTTAAACACCAAAACCCAGTATTTGTGCAGGGAAGTACAAATCATACAATTTTCAAGTGAAAACAAAGCACTATCAAAAAATCCTGTATTGTTTCTCAACATATTTAGCAGCTGGACCTCAGTTTTCATCCTAAATGGAATTCTATCACTACAGGCTCCAGAACTTTTCCAGAGAAGAATCTCATCTCAGTTTTTGTACTGAATGGCAATCTGCCCTGTGACACACACACGCACATGCATACATATACATCTATAAGAAATATATATTTAGTAGATTTTTTAAATATGATCTATTTCAACTTTTCAGTAGTGTTCTGAAGACGCAGGAAACAAGCAAAGAAGATGGCGAGAGACAGTTTGAGTGAGAGGGAAGGAGAGGAGAGAGAGTATGATAGGGAGAGAGAGAAAGAGAGAGACGTGAAAAAAAAAAAACTCTGAAAATTTAAGAAAAGCAGTTACTTTCAGATAATTTTTTCAAACTAGGCTCACCAGGTTTTGAACGTTTCCCAAATAGCCACAAAGACTTTAATTTGCCTTCTTCTTCAGCAGCAGCGTCCTCATTGTTTGGAGTTTCTCTTGGATCTGTAAAATGGTTCACTATTAGGGAAATTATTTGATAAAATTTCAAAAACTCGGCTGATCATATCTGTGATTTTACTGACGATCATAAATTATTTTTGATACAAGACATAATGGCAATCTGCCCTGTGACACACACACACGCACATGCATACATATACATCTATAAGAAATATATATTTAGTAGATTTTTTAAATATGATCTATTTCAACTTTTCAGTAGTGTTCTGAAGGCGCAGGAAACAAGCAAAGAAGATGGCGAGAGACAGTTTGAGTGAGAGGGAAGGAGAGGAGAGAGAGTATGATAGGGAGAGAGAGAAAGAGAGAGACGTGAAAAAAAAAACTCTGAAAATTTAAGAAAAGCAGTTACTTTCAGATAATTTTTTCAAACTAGGCTCACCAGGTTTTGAACGTTTCCAAAATGGCCACAAAGACTTTAATTTGTCTTTTTCTTCAGCAGCAGCGTCCTCATTGTTTGGAGTTTCTCTTGGATCTGTAAAATGGTTCACTATTAGGGAAATTATTTGATAAAATTTCAAAAACTCGGCTGATCATATCTGTGATTTTACTGACGATAATAAATTATTGTTGATACAAGACAACCAAATATATAACTTGTTGTTACCAGTGACACACCAACGTGGCTTTAACAATATCCCTTAGCCGGAGTTGGATCTACGAATCAAGGACACTTTGGGGATTTACCAGTAAAAGTTTGAATAGAGTTCCTGTTTAGAATTGGCCTTTGCTTTCGAAATCTTGCCTCTTATTTTCTCAAATCAATATATAAAAACCCGTTTCACTCATAGCTATGTTTCTTGTAAGCCATGATATTGACATTGACTAATTTTGCTCTTATTGCCAAGTGCGTACTGCCACATGCAATTAGGTCACATATCAGAGCATCTATTTTGCACTAATATGAAACAAAACTCGTCCTTCATGTCCAAAGGCAAATGACAATGAGCTATGGAAGCAAATTAATAACATTGTGGGAGAGAATTATGAATTTGTTGGAACGTATTGATTAAATTGTGGGAATGAATTAATTCCGTTGTGTAAACACATAACTGAATTATGGGGACAAAATATTTATTTGTGGTAACGAGTTATCAATTTGTCGGAACCAATTATTTAATTGTGGAAACGAATAATGTAATTGTAGAAACAAATTAAAAACAATTTTCAGGAGGGCCATTTTGGGCCACCGTAAATACATGTCTGCTATTCAAAATTAAAAATATCATTTTTCTAGCTGAATATTTTCAATTTTAATGAATGAAAAACCTCGATTTCTTTAAAATGAACAAATTCATCTTATATCAAAGACGGTGTGAAAGGAATGCCTGTCCTTAGGACCTTCGTTCCTGGGAAAACATGTCTTATGGAAAAGCGTTCCTTGGGATGTACTGTCCTACCGAGACCTAGATTCCCTGCTGTATTTTAACGCTTCTACATGAGGATAACGTATTCCTGTCGGACATAATTTCCTCTCACATATACACAGGAACGCAAGTCCTACATATTTAATGTCCGTACAAGTATTATAAAACATTGCATGTCCGTATAATTATTATAAACACGAAGGGATAGGTATCGGTAATTTTCGGACGGTCTGCATCAGCGTCCACACAGGCTGATGGGTAAGGCGTCTAGATTGAAGAAGCGAGACCAGGAGGATTTGGCAGGTGAGTTCGTAACTCAGGTAGAACTAAATTTCTCCATCCTCTTCTCCACTTTATGTTTCCATCTGAACCATACTTTCTGCCAATCTTTTAAATACTATTAACGCCTTTTTAAAAATTTTTTAAACAAAAATATATACTATAGACTTGTTTAAGGCACAATTGATATTATTTTGGTGAGTAAAAAACTCTCATTTAAATACTTTTGTGCAAGAGAAGAATAATTTTAAAGATTATCTGTGAGTTTTGATTAGATAATTCTGTAGAAAAGTCATCAAGAGAGCCTATCTGAGGTCGTGGCTACATTTGATTGGATAAGCAGTGGAGCCTCTACTACATGTATATACATGAATATAAGAAGAGCACATGCTTTCCACTTTCACCTGACAATAGAAAGAATGGGGAAGACCAAAACAAGGGCAAAAAAAAAAAAAAAAAAAAAAAGGACTGTCGAGGGGGTATCTTGAAAGGAGCAGTAAACGGAGCCAATTTGAAATTATATGTAAAGTGATATGAATCGATTGAATCAAATGAAGTAAACACTAGTAATAAAATTAATTTTTTAATACAATTTTGTTATTCTTGGTTCTTTATTCTCTCTTTTATATATTTAATTTAGGTGGTTTGGGTATTCTTTTTTCTTTCTTTGTTTTTAATAAAGAAAGTTAACTGAATAAATTCTGTCTATATATAATTTTAAAAAACATAATCGAATTATAAACCTAATAGATTACTCATTCTTCACCAACAATATAAGCACAAAGCAAAGTCAGGGGACATCAATATCTAGTTTACTTGGGAAAATATGTACGACTAGGACATCGATGCCTGTCTCTAGGACGGAAAACACAAAGTAAAATTTGTCCAGTGGACTTCTAGTCCAAGGAAGATATGTTCCCGGACATGTATTCCTAGGAATATATGACCTACGGACATGCATTACGGTGGACATCCATTCCTTTCACAACGACATTATGAAAATTGTCACCCATTTTGCATTTTTGCTAGCTGAGGAATCATCATTGATAGATTGGCAACTGTCCCAGGACAGATTGTGATCGTTGACTGTCCTAGGACAATTATTGGCCTTTGTCCTCAATCGCAATCTGCCCTGTGACACACCCACACAAATATACAAATATACAGAAGTTTTTTTTCAAATATTATTTATTTCAACTTTTTTAGAGAGAGAGACAGTTTGAGTGAGAGAGGAGAGAAGAGGAGAGAGAGTATGAGAGGGAAAGGGAGAAAGAGAGATATGAAAGAAAAGAGAAACAGGCTGAAATTGTATACATGTATTATGTCAGAGTAAGAAAGGGAGTTTCTATCAGATATCAATTACTTCAAACTAGGCTCACTAAGATTACAAAGTATCGGATATTACCATGCACTGGGGCTTCTAAACGTCCATGTTCGTCTTGATTGAGAGCAGCATCCCCATTTTTTGGCGGAGTTTCTCTTGGATCTGTAAATTGGCAAACCAAAAATCATCATTGATTGATTGGCAACTGTCCCAGGACAGATTGTGATCGTTGACTGTCCTAGGACAATTATTGGCCTTTGTCCTCAATCGCAATCTGCCCTGTGACACACCCACACAAACACACCAATATACAGAAGATTTTTTTCAAATATTATTTATTTCAACTTTTTTAGACAAACTAGGCTCACTAAGATTACAAAGTATCGGATATTACCATGCACTGGGGCTTCTAGACTTCCATGTTCGTCTTGATTGAGAGCAGCATCCCCATTGTTTGGCGGAGTTCCTCTTGGATCTGTAAATTGGCACACCACAAAGCTAACTAAGTTCACCATTAATGAAATCATTTGATAGAATTTCAAAAACTCGGTTGATCATATCTGCGATTTTACTGACGATAATAAATCATTGTGGATACAAGACAACCAAATATACAACTTGTTGTTACTATAATTTGACTTAAAACAAATTTACCAATACGTAATACCAAAGGGACGAAATTGATATAGGTCCGTGTTTCAGTGAATAAAACCACAATTATTCTTAAACACTATGAAATACGACAGATAAAAACATATCTTGATTCTCAGTTTTTAACAATTGCACAACACCTTCTATAATAATTCAGGCATGGGAAATGTCTGGTTCTCTGGGAGGATTCGATCTTTTCATATACTTTGACTTATGAGATTCCATGTCGCCTGAAGTTACCTCTTCTCTCGTTATATATGAAAGGACGTCTGTACTCGTGTAAGAACGCCCCCCTCCCCCCCAAAAAAGTAAAGAAAAATTCAAATTAATTCATGTGAACAGCATGGACATCGACCCAAACAACCAAATTAGATATTGAAAACTAAGGACTGATACATGTAGGTTGGGATAATACTGCAAAAGCACCAAATTTCCTGTGGGATCATACATGTAGTTGCGAGTATAAATGTTCACCTTCTGTTTATGGATGAGGCCAAAGAGACTATAGATTAGACGTTTAACAAGCAGAATACGGAACTCGAGTTTTTACAAGACCAGTTTCTACTACATTTCATTTGTTGTATTAGAACACATCAACAGAAGCATTAGATCATACACCGGATATTCATAAATTCATTCCGCTTCTGGTAAGAGGTTTATATTAGTGAATCATCACTGTAAGGAGTCAGTCAGAACACGCAATACCGTTTTTTAATAAAATTTTATTTGCATCGTAACTGAAACATCATTATTCATATACTCATAATTTTTATTATTATCAGTAACACACCAACGTGGCTTTCACAATATCCCATAGTCTTGGATCTTTGAATCAAGGACACTTTGGGGATTTACCAGGAAAAGTTTGAATAGAGTTCCTGTTTAGAGTTGGCCTGTGTTTTCAAAATCTTGCCTCATGTGCTCTCAAATAAATATAAAAAACCCTGTTTTACTTAAAACTATATTTGTTGTCAGCTACAACATTGGCATTAAGTTCATTTTCCCGTTTGTCCGTTATGTAATCTTGTGAAGTTCTGGAGGCCTTCCAGTTATTTAGTGCTTGCTGAAGGTTTGGACATTTACCTGAATACAATTATTTTAAAATTGTTAGCACAGCTAAATGAAGTGAGACAGAAAATGTGAATGAGCCTGTACGTTGTGAAGACACTCAAATCAACGTTGAACTTATCGTTATTATTTTGTTGACCTTTTACCGGTATGTTGTTTCTGTTTTTATTATTTTACATATAAGTTGTCGAAATATCCTGATAATTATTTATAGGACTTGAAAATGTTTGAAATGTTAATTATGCTGATGAAGCAGCAAAATATTTAAAGAAAGAACTCTTACTAAATTTATTTGCCAGTAAACAAATCACAAAGAAAACAGTACGTACCAACAGCAATCTCATTGTACTCTATTTGTCCGTCATTGCCCAGTGGAACACAACGTCTTCCTTCACGTCTATCACACCTAGAAGCTTCATTGCCGTTTTTATGCCAGTGTCCAGAGGCACAGCAAGATCTCCTTACGTCGTTGCACCACTCTGCATCAGCCTCACTAGGATGCCTGTGGCCAATGTCGCAGACAGATGAACTTTGTCCTACATGAACAATAAATTCGATCATGCCACTCGCCGTATGCCATGTACTAGTAGTTTTACTGGATTTCATTAGCGTACTGGAGGGTTTCGAATGAGGCTCAAACCGTATTTTCGGACTTATGGGTCGTAAGCGATACCGTCACTAAGATTTTCACGTAAAGTGAATTTTTATCTTCACACGCCACATTCTCTCTCTCTCTCTCTCTCTCTCTCTCTCTCTGCATGTGCGTGCATGCAGATGCACTTTTACTAGAGTATTATGAGACAGCTGGAAATCAACTACATACTGTTTTCCAGACGGTTGAGAAACCACTTATTACACAGTTTTAATTAACTCTCTCTCTATTTCTCTCTCTCTCTCTCTCTCTCACACACCGCACGCACACACACACACAAGAAAAATATGTATATAGCAGTGTTTTTCAAATATGGCATCTTTCAACATTTCTAGAAACAATATGAGAGAGAGGGAATGAGAGGAGGAAAGAGAGAAAGAGAAAGACGTGAAAGAAAAAAAGAAACAAACTGAAAATCTACATGTATTTTGTCAGATGCCTAAAATTTACCACAGTTCTTTTTGGCATAAAAAGAGACAGGTTGATTTGTTGACCATGCTCAAACATATAAATATTTTTTTCAAGTTTTGACCACGCGACACAACAAATTTAATGAAATAACAACTGACACTGGTTAAAGTGCAGCTAGCTCGTGATACCAAGAACTAGTGAACAAATAGACAGTTCGCCACGGGAGACTGTTGTTTAAATAAGTACTCAAAAGGGACGTGCCAACCCAGACGACTGGGGGAATAGGCTAGTCAACATATTCCGCTTACAATCGTTACCTACACTGTAATTATCACACTCGTCTATTGTATTTAACGCTAAATTTAGCGTGTAATCTTCAACTGGAACATGGAATAAATTAACACATGATTATTACCGATACGGTATCTGTGATTTTACTGACGGTTATAAATTATTGTTGATACAAAACAACAAAATAAATAACTTGTTGTTGCTTTGATTGGACTTAAAACAAATTTACCAATACCCTTTACCAAAGGGACAAAATTGATCTATGCCCGTGTTTCAGTGAATAAAACTCTACAATTCTTCTGAAACAGCATAAAATACTACAGACAAAACACTTTCTTGGGATAAACGATTATCCTTTTTTAATAATTGCGCAATGCTTTTTAGATATCTTAATCAGGCATGGGACATGTCTGGCATCTGGAAGTATTCGCTCTTTTCACGCCCTGTGACAAGTGAGATTACATGTTGCCTGAAATAAACTCGGGTCTCGTTATATTTCACCGGACGTGGGTTTTCTTGTAAGAACGCCCCCAAACACCAAAAAAGTAAAAAAAAATGTAAATATATTTTTGCGGACAGCATGGTCACTGATCAAAGCCACCAAACTATTCAGAAAAAAATTGAAAACTAATGACTGGTATAGTGGGAATTATGCAAAAGCACCAAATTTCCTTTGAGATCAAAGTTGCAAGTATAAATGTTTAACTTCTTATGGTGGATTAAGCCAAAAAGATTGGGTTACGCATTCTATAAGCACAATACAGAACTCGAAATTTACAAGACCAGACTATATTACATTTCTTCTGGTTTTCTTTTCTGGTGTTGGAACACATAAACAGGAGCTTACACCGAATATTCATAAATTCATTTAGCTTCCGGGAAAAGTTTATATTAGTAAATAATCACTTTAAGGAGTCAGTCAGTACACGTAATACCGTTCTTTAAATAAAATTCTATTTACATCGTAACTGAAACATCAATATCCATAAAATTATGGTTATTATTGTCATCAGTAACAACAAACGTTAGATTCTTTACAGATGAAATTTACCAGCATGCGGCCTTTGCACAGATTTTGGTGGGAACTTGTGACACAACAACGTGAGTTTAACAATACCCCTAGCTTGAGTTGTTGAAAGTATGAATCAAGAACTCTTTGGAAATTTACGTGTAAAAGATCAAACAGAGTTTCCGTTTTGATGTTTCTGTACGCTATAAAGACACAGATCAGAGTTGAACCTATCATTATTGTTTTGTTGACCTATTACATTATTTTTGTGTCAGTTTTATTATTTAACATATTTGCATAAATATCCTGATTATCTATTGTATAGGACTTGAAAATATTTGAAATGTTAACTGTTCTAATGAAGCAGCTTTATATTCAAAGAAAAGTGTCGTTAATAAATAATCATTAGTAAACAAATCACAAAGAAAGAGGTACCAACAAATAACAATCTCATTGCAATAATCTAATAATCCGTCTTTAACGGTCTTTGCCCAGTGGTTCACAACGTCTTCCTACACGCTCATCACACCAAGAAGCTTCATTGCTGTTTTTATGCCAGTGTCCCGAGGCACAGCAAGATCTCCTTACGTCGTTGCGCCTAACTGTATCAACTTCATTAGAATGGGTGTGTTCATTGTTGCGGACAGATGAACATTGTCCTACATGTACAATAAATTCGATCATGTCACTCGCCGTACGTCACGCACTAGTCGTTAATCTGGTTTTTCTAGGCGCAATGTTTGACATTAAATGGGGGGATTTCGCATTTTTTCTGCTTAATGGATCGTGAGTGATATCATCACTCAGTTTGCTTGCTTTCCATCCCTCATTCGCTCGATGTGTGTGTAGTATGAGGGTGCCTATTACGAGGCAGTCGGATATCAACTGCGTCACTATATTACGCTGACCGTGAAATACCCACTTTCTATAACGTTGGAAATGATACTCACACACACATTGTACTCACCCATCTTTTTTCTATTATTTTCTACGCTCGGTATGGTTGGAGGTGGATGTGGGCGCACGTTGACCGAGTATGACTTTTATCAGGAAAGCCTTTTATCAGTCGACAACAGCGCCCTCCTTTATTCGAACTGCAAATCTTGTATTCCTAACTTTGAGTTCCTGTTTTTCTTTAAAATAATGTCCGGGACATTCAACAGATACGATCAACTTCACCAGTCCAGAAAATGCCAGGAACTTTATATTTTGTGGAAGAGTTCAATTTGGTGCAGAATGCTAAATCTTACCTTCAAAACCATTAGGCCATCATGCACCTGCTGTAATCGTGGTACATGTGCCTCTAATTTCACTACTGCAGGTGATGAGCGATAAAAACCATATCTGCAGCTTATCAAAGAGATAAAATTGCCTTAAAATCAACAATTAAACTCGATTTCAGGCCAAACATCACCTCACTGCTACACTCTATCTCTGCTGTACAGTGACATTAGACAAACTTTGGATTACCCTTGCGCTTTCATGTACAGTGCATGACTACATGTAGTCGTGTTCTTATAACTTAATAAAAAATGATTTGAAAGAATAATGAGATCTAAAAAAAAAATCAAAGTGGATAACATGATCTTCAGGGGTTGTTATAGAGTACGGAGAACAATTACATAGGATACGCAAGTCTTTACAGACGGATGCGGGACGTCTGCCCTTTACAAAGATGAAATGGCGAAATCCCCCCCTCCCCCCCC